ACGCATACATTTGTATTTAAAGCAGAAAAAAAACATGTAAACAAGGCATAATTTATTATTTCATCACGAAAATAAATCAAGAATTGTATTTAGCACACCTGTGTAGGGTATATCCAGCTATAATGTGTTGATTTGTTTTCATTATTTATTTGAATTTGTATTTATTTATAATTTTAATTCACAATTGAGCATCAGCCGCGCTTTCTTGTTTGCCAGCAAATATTTAAATTATATGCACCTAAAAGTATGTTTTCAAAATTTTTCTCTTACTTTTAAAATAAATGGTTGAAACGCATTCGAAAACTTAACACGGTTTTGGATTCTTTCATAAACATTTATATGAATTTTAGGATTGATTCAAATAGCAAAGAACTTATCCCCTGCCTCGCTTTCAAATCTTCCAGAATATAATTTTATGAAGTTTAGTTTTACTGTCAGGAACATTTTGTACTTTGTGATAATAGTATGTACGGTCTGAGTGGCCGAGTAGACAAAAGATCTCGGGTAACAACTGTCAGTGGTCGTCGATTCATCTGTCAAGTGCGGTAGAGTTTCCAGTAAAGCCAGCCGATAGTGCTTGGAGACAGACATTAGTCTTAAAATTTCCTTCTCTAGCTAAAGTAATAATAATAATAACAAGAGTTTATAATAAAGAGTTAACTACTAAAAGATTTAATTCATTGCAGACTGACCCGCTGATATTTGCATAATAAACTCATTTACTGTAATAATAACTCATCTATCCTTTCGAAATGTTGATTAATTTTAATAACATGCGAGAAAAAAGAAAATGAAAATGCATTGAATAGGCTTAACCCGCATATGCGTACGTATTGAAAAGTAATGTGAACTGCATTTGAACACTAATCACAATTTTAGAGTTTCGCGTAATTGTGTTTTATTCATATGATAACCCAGTATATATATGTGATATATAACAATAATACATAATAACAATTATTATCGGCAACATTATATAAATGTATGTTTATGATTCAATAGAAAATAAAAAAAAACACTCCCAGCAGACGTTTACAATAACCCTCCCGCAGTTTTGTAACGACTATGCGAACGAAAAACTAATTATATCTCAATAAAGAAAATATATACTCAAACGATAGTAATCTCGGGCAAACGTATTCAGGTCTGTAAATGTTTTTGAATATTAATATTTGACAAATGTAAATGTACGTATTGTTTTATATGGATGTATGCTGAGCGTTGGTATAGTTAAAGTTGAGAATGAAATAAATTTTAATGGTTTTAATTAATCGGAGCAATTGTTACTAGTCCTCTACTGCACTCAATTAATTACGACATACAACCAACTGATCGTTAAGTATTTTCTTTTCAAGTTAATTTAATTTCACACCTAAATTAAATATAAAAAAAAAAACAAAAATTAATATCACCCTACAAAATTTATACTCATTCATACTCTCAGTCATTCATATATTCAGTCATTCATATATTCAATCATTCATATATTCAGTCATTCACATACTTATAAATTAATAAAGGAAAAGTAACACCTCTTCAACAGCCTCGCTTCTCTAACAGAGTTTTTTTCGATGCCTAAAGACATTTTGATTAAAGTAACAAAAACAAACCAAAAAGTTGTAATTTGACCGCTCCTAGTTGGATACATAACCCAGCTACAATCTGACCTTCGCTCGGAATACTAAGGCCTTTCCGATAAGACTAAGCCTTCAAATCCGAGGTTCACACTAGTACCTGCGAAAAGCTTAAATCTCTCTAAAGCAGTTTTCCCATCTTTTGCAGATGACATGTCATTTTAAATTTCCCGGCATTTTCGAATTGTCAACATGCCGCTGCCTTTGCAATGACAATCAATAAGGTTTTTAAGCGCGGATAGATACGATGCCGTGCAAGGCGAGACAAATATGAATATGAGTGAAAAGGAAAAATCATGATTTTTTTAAGTCAAATGATATCCAGTGCAAGTCAAATGATATTCCTGCGGCTGTGAAAACCCACGAAAGGTTGTCGAACAATCTCTTCAGCCACCACGACGGGCAGTTAATGGCGGTTTTTGAGTTAACGCTGTCATCCAAGCTCGTGTACTGTCCGTACTACTGTTAGGTTGACCGCCACGACGAGTGGGTTGCGTCACGGAATGTTTTTCACCGACTTGATTTAGATCAAAACGTTCATTTCCGCACAACCCCTACAAAAATGGCTGCATTTTTCTGTTGATATAAAACAACACTTCTTATTGAAAAGTTCTACATTTATTATCTTCTAATTTTCTCTTTCTTTACTTTTTTCATTTTTCAACTTGCTCTTTGCTGTGTACAAAAAAACAGGATTCACATTTATAGTTGATGCTTGTTAATTCGATGAAAAGAAGACGACCCGCCATAACTGACCTAATCCTAAATTTCATTCAAGAGCAAGTTTACATGTAAACACAGTTTCAATATAAATATATGTCTGAGTATTGCAAACGACATGTTTCTGTTAGTATATCAGCTTTGTTTGACGCTGAGCTCAAAAAAAAAAAAAAGAAAAGAAGAAATTATTTCACTTTTCATTCGTTTTATGGCGACGCTCCTTTGTCTTTAATAACTTTGGAGTTCAAATCAACGATTTCCCTATTTTCTCTTGCCAAGGAGCAATCATAAAAAAGTATGAAGTACTAAAAGCTATTCTTACCCTTTTCCTCAACAATAGTTGAAGAATAGTAGAGAAAAGTAAAAAAAAAGGTATTCTCAGTTTCTCTGTTCGGTACTCTTCCTCGTCCTCCTTTCTTTCGCAATGCTGTGTGGTTGATGTTGGCGCAATTCTTTTGACTTGAATGCCACTACACTACAATGCTGTGCAATATTATCAACACTTTTCACTGATTGCATGCCATTAGACGGGAAAAAAAAGTTGACAAAATATCAGAATTTCCCAACCTTTTCTCTTCTCTTCCCTAACTGCTTTGGTCTGCTAACTAATAAAAAATTAATGCATGAGCCTAACTATCGCAGATTATCCTACACAAGGATAAATACAAATTTTCATAAGATATATATAAAAAAAAAACCATATCCCTCGAGAGCTTAAATTATTTTTCTTGTTGAAGCAAAGCCATTGTAAATTTTGACAAATTATCAATCTTTCGGGTTTTATTGGCTCAATTTATTTTTTTAAGTGTCAAGAATGACTTTTCAAACGATAATTGTGCACGTGGAACTATTTCAAATGATCACAAAATTCGAATTTCTTACAATGTCTTTAAAGCGACATTCTCCGGCAAAGCGCGATAATTTGACCTAAACATTAAACAGGGCCCTTTTCATGGTCACAATCTAAGCTTTTTTCATTGAAATCCTCATCAATCATACAAAGATAAAACTTTCTAAAAAACCCTACATGCTTCACTAGCTGTAGACGAGGAAATTAAATTTGTTGTCTCGTTTTTAAGACAAACTTGAACTACGTCCATTGCGTGCCGCAAAGGCCCTTAAATTGATGGCGTCTCGCGAATACGGCTCCGACCTTGTCATTTTTAAAAATTTTTCCGAAATAGTGTGAAATTCTGAGTTGATATAGCCATGTCTGTCCGTCTGTATGGTGTGTATTGTTGGCACTCTCCCAGTCGCCAAAATGTAAATACCGCCTTTAAATTTGATAGAAACATTGTAAGTTTCTGCACGCAGGTTGGCACTGAAAATGGGCCAAATTGGTCAGAGCGTAATAAAGCATTACCTGAACGCAATTCAGATTTTTTTAACAAAAATTTTTGAATTTTTGCTTGATACTCGGAAAGGATGAAACTTTTGACATTTGCTTTGCGAGTCGCTTCACTCTCTAGGCCCAATAATGGAACCAATCGGCCGTGTCCACGCAAACTTACCGGTAATTAAATTAAATTTTTTCCACTCTTCTGAGGGTTATTGCTTATTTATCGTAAAGCAAAGAAAATAAAACAAAAGCAGGGAAAGCATTGCTTTCAACCTCCTATGGGGGAGTTGATTGCAACTAATCTTGAGCTAGTTAAACGGGTGGCAAAAATTTCCTCCGTGTTCGAGCACAGTTTGCAGTTCACTGCTTAGCTACATCTTGTGTTAAACGCTACCGCTATACTCTACATAATGTCAACTTGCTTCCTTCACTACACAGCTGTTATGTGATACTTAAGTTGATCTCAAGCACACATTGCCATAAACTCGATGCTTGGCTTTTATAGCAAAAATTTAAACTGAAACCAAAAAAAAATTTACTCAACGCCCAAGACATTATTTTCAATATGAAACAAAACTTGAGTTTTCCTTGTTCGTTATTTAACAGTAACACAAGCTCATGTAGAATAAAAATCGCGTTCACTTGAAAATTAAAATTTTTTTTGTTCTTGTTTCTGTTTTTGTGTATAAAAAATCTAAAAAAAAAACTTCTTTATTAACGCATAAAAACACCTAAAATACAAACAATATTTAAAAATGCTTAATACATATAAATATGAATAAAATGTTTTACATGTATATATGTATGTATGTATGTATGTATATATGTATGTATGTATGTATTTATGCATGGATGCATGCATGCATGTATGAAACAAACGCACAGTCAGCTATTTAAGCAGCAATTAATTTGCATTAAATTAATCTGCAATCGTGCGACGATGCTGCTTAATAAGAACTTAAATGAAACAACAAAAAAGCTTGCTTTCTTATTAATCTAGACTTAAAGTAAGAAAAAACAAAACAAAACAAAACAAAAAAGATATTTGTCACTCGTTAAAAACTATTTTTATGATATCGTAACAATAACAAGAGAGTGAGTTAGTCGAGAGTTAGCAAAGAGCAAGATGCATATAGATCGAGTACAACATATAATACAAAATGAACACAGTGACGGAAATAGTTATTCAAGGTAGATGGAGGAGATAACTAAGATAGCTTGTGGATCACTTATCATTTTTCCATTTTATAGAGTTAATTAAGCCTTTCATCCTTTTCGAATTTCTTTGATTTCGTTTCTTAATGTTTTCAATGTGAGGGCGTTCCATATGACGAACTGGGCGCTGAGGGACCTGAAGGCGGAGCTGGAGCACCATAATCGCCAGACGGAGGTGGAGCAATACTGTTCGGATATGGTCCACCATTATCTTCTTTTTGCGTCTTATAGCGTATAAAGTACACTTCCGGTTTACTGGGCTGAGTGGGCGGTGGTGTTGGAATAATAATGTCTGGCTGATCGTCCGGCTTCTTAACCAACACATAAACTAATGTCTTCTCTTCGTTTTGTGGGAGAGGAGGTATTGCCGGTGGCGTTGGAACAGGTGGCGAGGGAGCTTTAATGAACACAATTTTGTAATGCTTTTGTGGCGGTGGCGGTAATATTGGTTTTCTAAAACATAAATCAGAAAACATTAAATTTTATATTGTACATAATTACTATACCAAATTACAATTAATCAAGTTAATAAATTAATCTTTATAAGAAAATTAATTTCAAATGGTCTGCCAAGCTGCACAGAGATCGCAATTTCCGCTTAACATAAACATTGATTTCCTTAAATACTTCCAATGCCGTACGCAGCGACCATAATGCTAGCTAGCTTGGGAGTGATTATAAATGGAGTAATAGATAGGTCTGTCTGTCTTTTGGTTCTCATGGCACAGAGGCACCCCAACAGAAACCTTGTTCTTTCTCATTGCATCTTGTACTTCTGCAGCAGATTAAAGCATTTGGAATTGTTTGTAATCTGTCACCCACCGCAGTAGGTGATCTGTTACGAGAAAAAGGGGTTGTCTTCACCAAAGTGCAAATTTCATCACCGTCTTAAAATTGTTTCAAGTCAGAAAAATTTCTTTGATTAAGAAAAATAAAATTAGATATAAACAATCGGTTGCGAAAAATTCCCTGAAACATATTAGAACCGTGTCCCTAACAGGTTAAAAAAAAAATGAGAACGCTTCGAAAATGCAATCACTCCGAATACCCAGAAATTCTCTCGAAAAAATATCTCAGCTTAATTTATGAGAACTTTCCCGAATAGCGAGTGCCGTTTGCATTATTGCGAACACAACGTTTCGGTTCCTTTTACTTCTTAAATCATAATCACTGGCAAAAATCGTTTCAAAACTTTCTTCGTCCTATCTAAAGGTGCTCTGATTGACCAATTCATCTAAAAGTAACCAAGGAATTTAGTCATTTGGAGAATTCTATTCATCTTACTGTTGGTCGCAGGTTTCTATTTTCTTTTATTCAGATCTTTTGTGAATATTACGCCGATGTGATATTTTAAATTATAAAGCATGTTACATCGTTTAACCCAAAGGATATGAAGATTTAAGAAACTTTAATGTGAAAAGAACAACAAAACAAATTGTTCCCTAAATCACGTGATGTGCTACATAAAGAGTATATCGACAGACTGAGTAAGCAAAACCAAAAGAAAATTAAATGAGAAAAACGCCTTGTTGTGCTCATTTAACAACTTCCCCACACTCCTTACAAATAGCATTCTTCTTCTTCCTTCTATTGTATGACAGTTCGTTTTATGAAATTTTAAGAAATAATTTTTGATTTTTTTGTGTCATGCTTCCTCATATCAGCACATATAGGCGGCTTCTATCAATCTTTGTTAAATCGCTATTAAATTTGGCATACACACCCAGGCGCGCATTTCACTGCTGTTACTTATTCATTTATTAATTCAGTTCAGCTCGACTTCGATATTGAAATTAAATTATAAATGCCATTAAAACTCTTGTGGAGACCACTACGGAGATTTTATAAAGGCCACAATGGAGTGCGCATTGTTTAAGTTTCATGAAATGAAATGGACGAGTTAAGCGTAGGAGAACTAATTTTGTTTAAAAGAATTGGTTAAGCGGTACATCGCATTATATACCTGAACATTTGTAGCGAGGATATATAGATAAGTCTAGGTCCACGTAGAAGAACGGACAAGTTTAGTTCAGCCAATGTGACACTGATAGCTTGGAGACCAAACAATCGGAACGTATTCGAGAATAATTCTCACCGGGGTCATGCGCAGTCTTTTCGTTACGTAAGAGTAGTTAAATTATTTTGTTTAGCATTTAATAAAACCCAGCTTGCGCTGTTGCTTAATAATAAGTTCTATGTGTAAATTGTAGAGGCGACCAATATTTTCCATCTATTGAATTGATAACACTGATAACAGCAAGAGACCGTGCAATTTATTTTAGACCAGAACGGCCATGGGCTATCAAGAGACTTACAAATAAAAGCGAATTAAAGTCATCTGCATATAAAAATATTTAAGCAAACCGAGGGCGTGGAAGTAAGACATAAGAGGTGCTAGCTGCAAACGAGGCGAAAGATTGCAAATTTCCGTGGAAATCATAATCAAAATGAATTTCTATCAAAATTGAAACCTAATTAGCAATTATTATAAAGTGCAAAGAAAAATGAAATCAACTCAAAAAATCTGATAACAAAATCGTTCTAAAGAGATTTACCGTACAAAGAAAACGAAGAGTATAGAAAACCTATTGAGCAATAGTTCATTTCAATCAATATCGAAAAACGGCGACGTATATATTTGCAGGAATATTAAATATGTATACTTATGCTGTATAAGGTTTGCTTCAGATTGTCTCAGCGGCCAGCAAGTTTTATATCATAATTCAGGAAGCATTTTGTTTTATTAATTTTTTAGTTGTTATTCGTCTTCATTGTACTTTGCGTTAATGTTAACGTCTACAGACACATGTGTGTATATAAAAATAAAAAATAAATATATAACATTACAACGTATACAAACGTAGCAATATTTTTTTAATGCATGCAGCATATCAAGCTATATACCATTTCGTGGTAGAAAATAAAAGAAAAGTTAATGAAAGCACTGACGCTTATAATAAGCGACACAATAAAACGCACAAACGCTGAAAATGACTTACATGATAGCGTTATAAGTTTACATGAAAATAAATAGACATACACATGCACTCACACATGATAATAATAATCATATGTTACAGTAAATTGTATGCAAGCAAACGAACAGATATTTTATAAATGTATTTGTGCATTTAAAGTGCTTATAAATCTACTCACAGGTATCCATACACACACTGAAATCGTAAACGGAACGTTAAACAACTGAAATTTTCGTGTGCTTGCCGTAAATTAAGTAAAAAATGAAAAATGAAAACAAAAAAAAACTCTTTTTTTTTTTATCTAAAATTAGCAAAGAAAGGAAAATTTATGGTTTGTCGAAAATAACTTCAAGAAACACACGCACACGTCCATAGTCAGCAGACAAGGATTATTGAAAATTTATTTTTTCAAGACTTTTCAGCCGCGATCACATCACATTTCTTAGAAAAACTTGCAGGCAAGACCACCCACCTTTTAACAGAAATTGCTCGAAACAAACATTTATAGCACATTAACCAGTTAGATCAGCTTAGAAAAAAAAACAATTGCAACATAGAAACAAATGCGATATAATGAAAAGCGAACAGAAAATGAGTTGGCAATGTTTGAAGTTGAAGTTGAACGCATATCAAAGGAATTAAATGACATGAAATTGGCTCCAGTCAACGCGATCTTAGATGATCGACCGCCAAGTCAAAAAAGAGACAGCAATGTTAAGAATATCTATCTATAGTAATACGATCGGATCACAAATGGTGAAATTAAAAATTTGTGAATTAATTGTCCAGCAACTGTTTGTAAGAGTCATACAATTATCCGTTCAATCATAGTGCAATTGTGACAGTATATGTCTTGTGTCTTGTCTTCAAATGCTTCAAACCTTTTTTATGTAGCCCGACTTTTTGCATCCATTATGAAAAATAATTGAATTAAATCGCGAGGTGTAATTGTTTTTCTCTTTTGGTTTTTGGCGAAGTCAAGCGGGGACTTTTTTTGGTTTGTTTTTTCGGTAAACAGTTGCAGAAAATCAAGACAATCGAGTCTTAAACGTAAGTAAAACAGAAAAACAAAAAAAAAAAAAACAAAACAAAATCAAGACAAACGCACGCCTAAAGGTTTGAAAAAAAAGGAAATCTTTGCAAAAATATTGCGATTTCAATCAATGCGAATAGAAATGTCTCCTTTCACTCACCAATAAAATACAAGCAATCGTAGCAATCAAAGTGTCATATAAACGGTCAGCAAGCAGAAATCACATCGAATGGGGAAAAACGCATTAAAGCCTAAAATATTCCCAAAATGATGAAATTGTATTCGTGTACTTTTTAAATAATCGCTTTCGGTTGCACATTAGATATGTTATGTATGGATACTGAGAGATATTGAGGTCTTGTTTTTTTTCCGAAGGAGAGAAGAAAATATTTTCAATGACAAAAAGAAAAAAACAATTACGGCATACACTTGCATCGACATGACCAGACAACAAGCGAAGTTTTGCTACAACTTGAGCATAGAAAACATGCTTTGTCGATTAGTTGCACGCTTAGTTGAATTTTTAAAAAGACCGGCAGATGAATGAATGAATTGTTGCTTATTGGGCGATACACAGCATTACATTAAAAAAGAATAGCAATCAGTTTAAACAAAAGATAGGAAAACTATACTCGCCAGTATACGCATTCGAAATACCTTACAGTAACCGGCTCAAATAATTAACGGATTAATTTAATTAACTTCTACACTTCACTCAACTGACGGAGTTTTTGGACAGATTGCTGATATGCCTGTCTATTTTATACCTGTTATCGACGGCTCAAGACGAAGTATGAAGATTACATATTCCTTACATATTTTTCAGTCTTCTCTATTGAGCACACAAACGGTAGTATCAATATTCCAAAGTAAAAAAAAAGTTTTTCCGACACACTATTCTATCATCGGGAAAATAAGCAAGCCCAGACGTTGTCTAGGAGATTTAAAGAGCATACTTTTCCTCGACACCCACTGACAAACGGAAGGAATTGAGTGTGAATCGGTACCCGTCAATGGCCGTGGCAATAACCCTAAATCAGAAGGCCTTACTGCGCCTAGTGTGATAAAATTATTGCAATTGTACGAACACAAAAACCCTTACAAGGAGATATTGTTAGATAGACAGACATTGACAAATTTGTTAAACAGGAAAGCTTTGGAGCTCAAGTTTTGCTTTGAGATTTCTAAAGATATGTACATCGTCTTGATCATGAGTACATTTTCTGTAACTCCTTTTTTGACAACATATTTCTGTTTGTTACAAACGACATAAGTAAGTCAACATAAGCGTATCTATGACGGAAACTTATACATCTTTGCTTATGACCACACAATGGCAACGCCTAAAAGTTGAAAAAAAATGATGGCCGGGGTCATAATGTGAGATAAAGATCATAATAGATAACGTAACTGAAGAAAAATGAAAACGAATAAAATTTAAG